ACCCGCTCCAATGGGAAAACGCGCCCCCAAACACTCACCCTGATTGGTCGAAGGCCCGCTATAGACGCCTTGGGAACAGGCCATCGCCTGATTGTAGGGGCTGGCAGCTGACGAATAGGGCAGGCCGACGTTATTGAAGCCCGGATTGTGGCCTCCCTGCTTCCGGAACCGCGCCCGTCTGTTACTGAACCACACCTGGAATTTTCGGGCAACCCAATGAGAAAAACGGGCCTGATTTGCCCCAAACTGTGCCCATACCTGCACTCGGGACTCGGTCAACTTGATGCGTTGTGCGATTTCCTCACGCGTGTAAATATCTGGATAACTCGTGCGATTGAAGGCGGTTTCCAGCTCATCCAGCTGTTGTGCGGTGAAGGTGGTTCTGGAGCGGCGCTGCTTGCGCTTCAGCGGAATCCCGGGCTCGCTTTCGCACTCTGATCCGCCGTCATTTTCGGACGATTTATCTAGATTGCGCCCCATTAATCAAAAAATGCATTTCCAGCACTATTAGAAAGTGACAAAGCGAACTGAGGCGAGTGAGAAATTCGATAATAACCCCGTAATTACATGAATGAGGTGTATTTTCGACAAACGGGGGGCGAAATAATGGCGTGACGACGTTCTGGTAGGGCGCCCCCCCAAATTAGGTGTAACCAATATGACATCAAGAAGACGCATCGTGTATACCATTAAAATTTATTCGGTCCGCGTACCACTGAATGAACAGGATATGACTGGGTGATATTTTCAATAGGACGGGTGGTGCTGCGTGGGGCCCCCCAATTTCAGCCGCTCTATTCAACTATTTGGAAATTTACTGGGATATTTTCTCAATTAATTTTGACCACCCTGTAGTTTAGGTATTAACATTAATTTTAGGTATCTAATTTAGACAACGGATGTACATACACGCCCCATTCCTTTCTCGCAGATGACGTCGCAGGATACGGCAGTTGGCAATCCTGGCAGAGTCAGTTCGCGCTTGACAAGTTGCCAAATTTGATTCGGATCAGTTCTTTTGCAAAATAAGCCGATTATTGCCCCTTTTTCAATCAAAAAGGTGCATAAGAGTTATCCAGACCGGCAGCCAATGGGGTTTAGGCCGAAAATTCGGTCCAAATGCGAAAAAGTGCATTGAAGATGGTGATGTTTGCAGTCGATGAGCGACGGTGGGGAACGTGGGGTAATAGCGAACGTGGGGTAATAACGAATTCACTACCGGCAACTGCGAGTTTTGGTAAGTGGCGAAATTTGTGTGCAACTTTGATCAATTAAGCAACGAAAAACCCAAATCATCAATACGTTTTTTACTGCTTAATGATTTTTTAAGTACAAAATCTTCAATTGGTCCAATGCTTCAACATGAAAGTTGAATGAGCAAAGATGTTTTTATCGCAACGTTTCGGTTGCTAGTGGACATTCTAGATACTTCAATACTTCGAAACATGCATCCTTACATATGTAAGTACTTAGTTCTGTCCTTTCACGATAAAGTATTAACTTCCTAAAGCGCGTTATTAAACACATGACGTAAAACCGACAACCTCCCGTTTTCGTAAATTTCCTTTATTAATTTTAATTTGAAAAAAAAACAATTTTTTATTTATATGCATGTATTTATTGCGTAATTGAAACTTAAAAAAAAATAAGTCAAACAAATTAATATCGGATTCCCTTCCACAAATGACGTCACACGTATAAAAGGATTAGCAACCCTCATTGCGCGCAGCGTCATGTCGCGTCTTTTTGACAAGTCGTTCAATGTCATTGCGTTTCTTGAGCAAAGAAAGGCGAATATTGCGCGATTATCACCCGAATTAGTGCTCAAAAAGTGACTCAAAAGGTGCATCAGAAACAGTTAATACAGTGGCCGTTGGGATTTCCCCGAGGATTCGCTCGAAATGTGAAGAAACGTGGCACATTCTCGGCATCGGCAAGAAGCTGACGCCATAGGGAAGATGGGGCAAATTCGGACAATTTCATCGCCCAAATAGTCTTGGCTGGACGTAAGTAAAGGTTCAGTACATTTATTGAAAAGGCGCAATATAGTGAGGGTCGAATTAAGAATTTTTTTGCTGAAGTTTAGTTTGACAGTGGCATAAAACGTCTTTTGTGTGATCTGGAAAACAAGCACAACTTTGAATAATCGAAGCTTTCCAAGACGTAGGTGTGTGCCAAGCTATTTGGCAGTTATGTCATTATTTGAGATGTCATATTAAAATGTAATCGTCCCAGATTGGAGATTGGTTGGAAAACAACTGCACTCGCCAAGAAATCAAATCGATAATTTTAATATTCCTCCATACTTCCGCCAATTGTAACAATTTCATGAAAGTGCAAGTACATTAGTAGCCATAACATATCTGTCTCGCTCGATGGACAAGTAATGGAAAAAGTACGACAATTATTGCGTCACTGCCAAACAATTTGGGACCGACTATACGGTGGCCCAAAAACATCGGAAAAGTGTCTCTGGCGTCCCTTAATGTGTGTTTAGATCCCTAGACAGGCCTAATCAATGGAATTTGATTAAAGGATGCATTGAACAAAGGAGAATGTAAAAAGAAAAACCGCATTGAAAAGCTGTGCATGTTTAGAACCAGATCGGGATCCTTGTGTGTTGATTAGCACTGGGTGCTCGGTACCATTCGACTGTGAAGGATAGACAAACACAATGCTGGTATTGTGGAGCGTTTACGGTCGCGGGTTTCGTTCGAATTGGAAAATGGCGGCCGCATAGGCATGCAGCGTGACAAAATGGAGGCGCAACAAGGCGGAGACCCAGCACTAAGTACCTTCAATTGCGGATCATTGTTCGCATTACACTCGCTACAGCCCGATCGTAAAACGGCGCATTTCTGAAAATGCTGCCCGTCTTTTGCCCGAAAAATTATTAATGACTCGAGCGGCGGAACACCACCTGTGGTGTCGGCCTGTCAACGCAATGTCATTTATCATCGGCAGGATGGCGCTGTTATTCCAGAGCAGAAGCCACTCCGAACAAATGGGATATTGGCTGCCGCTACCTAGAATCGGGCTTTTTGTGCGGCTATCGTTTTTTATTATTTTACACGTAATTACGGCAAAAATTGGATCGTGCCTCGTTTTGTTTGGGGTGAAAAATGATGACTGTAGAAGAGGGGGGCCCCGATGGCAATGAAATGGATCTATAGGCCAATTCGTTACGTGGGAATCGAGGGTTGTTAATTGCGGATGCCAGTCGTTAAGGAGGTTTATTTATTCAGCTTTGTTTCAATGATAGTCTCAATTTTCTCCGACCGAAGTTTAATGAAAATTCGGCTTTTCAAACGTTTCCATCATCTGCGACCTTTAGGGGAACGCAACTGAAACCGAAGTTTCCTTGGATGTGAAACAGTGTTGTCTTGAACTGGTTTTAACTGCGCTCTGAAGTGTAAACGAAAGCAACACGAACGGCAAAACTACAAAGCCCCAGTGTCGGATTACAATGGAACGAGCTGCCAGCCCGGTCGGTACCCAGTCAAAGAGCCCAGTTAATAGTTAGACAATGACGTAACAGATTGGGTACCGGCCAGGGGTTCTTTAATAATCTCGATTCTTGTACGGCGCAGCGCGTTTGCAGCTACCTGTTTTCGATTACTCATTAGATCGCAGCTCGGTGGTAGATAACAATTGATTTACCAGGTTGATTGGATCGTCATCAATTGGCATCAACGTTGATTGATTGGTGGGCAGATGCCGATTTTCGCACATTCGACAACTAAATCTAGCCATTGTGTTGACAACACCCAAGTTTGCGAGACCGTCACTTGTCAATTGTGGCGCATTAGTAGACAGATGAAGTTTGACAGATGTAATGACGGGAACCGTAGGCAGAATCGCCCTTAGTAGAATTGTCGGTTGTTTTGACGTTGACGTTTTGACGGTGAAGTTTGACGGATGATTGCACGTGATCAGGGGGAAAAGTGTAGTCTGTCCCCAGCTATTTGACAGTGACATCGCTTTTCGCTGATACGAAAATGCTGGTCAGGACTGGAATAAGCCCGTACCTACTGAGAAAACTATGAAGAAGATGATTGATTTTCTCGATGGTTCATCGGGCAGTTTTTGCCCGGCCGAATCAATTTCCATTAATTGAAGCCAATAATTATGATCGAGGGCTATCGATAGCGGACCGGGCAAGCGCAAATACCAGATTCAGCTTAATCATTTTCGAGGCTTGCATAATAACGTTCGCCAAGCAAAAGCTGAAAGTCATTTCCTACTATTATTTAGCTACCAGATTTTTTGCCGGTAATTAAAAACCTCGAACAGAAGCGATACCTGTTACCTGCCATCACAGTCGACACTGTGCTCGAGCTGATTTTTTTTCGCGAGAAAAATGATCTGTGCTGGATGAAAAAAAAATCTGTTTGATCATCGACTTACCGTCGGTGTCGCCGTGTCGGGCTCTGAGGATTTTCGAGATGGCCGAAACGCTGGGCGCGGAACTGCTGTCGCACACCCCGCTACTGACCAGTCGCTCCCTGATTTCCCAGCTGAACATTCCAGGCCGTTCCCTCATGTACTGTTCGATGTGCGACTCGATTTCGGGAGTGGCCAGCTTCGGTTTACTGCCCCCGATCACTCCCGGTCGGATTGAGCCTGTTTCCTGGAACAGCGAGAAAGAGTCCATTAGTTTCTGCGTGTTCGCTTTGCCGCGATTTTTCGCCCGATAAATTGGGGCAATTATTGAAGGTCACCAATAAGAGCGTTAGGCGGCTGCCATCGATAAATTGCACGATTTATTGTTGAAGTGTTGGCGGCGGCTCTCGAAGTAAATTCACAAGGCATTAGAGGTTAGGATTTTTAGGGCAATAAATGTAGCAAATGAGCAAAGAACTTGGCACCAATCCAAGTGTGAAGTCAACTTGTTGGCCGATAAATCGGGCAAAAGCGCGCAATGTAAAACCGGCATTTAATGTCAACAAACAGGGAGAGAAAAAAAAGAAACTACCGACAGGATATTGCCAGGTCATTTATGGCCGCATTTAACGACCGAGCACAAATCGTAACTTCCTTTATGATTTATTAAAACCCATTATGATTTTCACGCGGATTCCGTTTTCATATGCCCGGCATGAACGTTTAATTGCAAATAGGTAAAACTACAAGGAATCGCATCAGCTCATTTATTGATGTGTGTGTGGTTGGGAACCCATTTGCGCGCCGATTGATTAGTTTATGGTCCTTCGAACAGGTGTGGCGATTGCGCTCGAAAATCGATTCTTTATTGGTTTCACTTTGAGCGTGCATGAAGCAGCGGGTTGAGAAGTATTTCTCGGAAAAACACCCGTTTGGCAACGAGGAGACCCGGTTGTGACGCACCGTCGACCACTTCTGAAGACGGCGGTTGCTGTTGCGGTCGAAACGTCTGATTTGATGCGAACTTACCTGGTATCGGTTCAGTATTTTGCTGACACAGCCGTGCGACACCCTGAGTTGGCGTGATATAATGCAGGGCCGGATTCCGGCCGCTGCCAACTCCACAATTTTCAACCGGATATGATTGGGCAGAGGTCGGCCGTTAATGAAAACTCCTCCCAGCTGATTGACTCTGCCCTGGCCTGCAACAGAAAAGTGTCCATTGGACAAATGACTAAATGCGCGAATGTTCGCGATTGATCGCGCACATTCTGCGTTTGATTTTGGCCGAACAGGCCAAGCTAACGGTTGAAATTAAGTCATACAATGCGTTTTGTTTAAAGCGAAGCCGCCGCACCATTATCCCATTATAAATGAGTTTTTAATTACCACCAGCTACCAACCTAATTAAAACATTCATTTATCTGCTGCCGAGTCGAAAATCAGGGGCAAAAACGCAAAGTAAATTAATTCTTTCGCGTCGCGTTTGTAATTAAACGCGGGTACCGGAAGCACTGATTGTTGAACATTCGACGAATTTTAATCAACACGGGCGTGGTCGGGTTTTATTTTCGTGTGAGGAATTTAAGGGTGGAAGCCCCGAAATTGTCCGGTTGGGGTTTCTGGGCTTTTCGTTGTCTTTTCTTGTTTTCAACGTTTTTACTGTCCCCCAAGTCAGCTATCATGGCAACGGCAGTCAATCACCATAGTGACCCACTTAGGGTTTTCTTGTTCACTGGGCATATCGCTGAAATTTCAAGCAATACCCAAAACGGAAAAAACCGTTGCACAATATCGGTAACCTTTAAACGAAAACCGCCACATTTTCGAGCCTCGTTGGCCAATAGAACAGGACTTGGCAGCACGACGAAAAACTGCAAGAGTTTTCGACCGCAATCGAAGTGACATTTTTAAGGCGATTTGACTCTCACATCCTTACAGAACGAGGAAAATCACGCTAGACAGCAAGCGCTATATATAATATACTTAGCTGAAATAATCTAAGCAAAAACATGAAATATCGGGATGGTTTGCCGGTTCTTACGAGACACTCTGTATATGGAAAGCCCGTGAGGAGTGAAGCTTCATTAGAATACAAGCACGAATTGAACCAATTGCAAGTGACTGAAATGCAAAATCGCGGTATTAAATGCGCATCCATCAACTCATCCTTTAGTGGTTCAACATGCTGCTTAGTTCGGAATCTGGAACGGAACTGGAAGGAAAACGACAGTTTTTTGGCTTCGCCGCTGTGGCTCATAAAATTGCTGATTATCCAGTTAAAAAATCGCCGCTGATATGAATTTGGTCCCGACGTTTTGCCTGCAGTCATCGCCAACGTCTTCAAGGTTAGTCGTGTTCGTTTCCAGATCTCATTCTGTGAAGCAAACGCTCTGATTCGAGCGACGACAGGGCTGCTTTTTCCATTCGGGAGCGTAGCTGCCCTCGGTTTTCTCCCTCGCACCCATATAGTTCAGCCAGAGATGCAAGATATCCGGCGCGTT